GCCCAGCCAGCCGCGCCTTTCAGCCGAACTGAAAGCATACAGGACGCGTTCGTTCTCGTTCGATGTCTTTTATGCACAGTAAACATGTCTCCGAGCGGCGGACGTAGCTACGTGCAAAGGTACCTACGTGCATCGTCGGCGGTCGGTGGCGTCGGCAGCTACGACAAAAGCGCTAGACAAAAACAAAAAAAAACAAAAAAAAAAACGAATATTGAACTTACACGGATAAATAGCTCAAGCAAACTCTTGTAATCGGGCGGTAACTTGCGCCACCTAGTGCGATTTCTAGCAACCAATGAAAAAAAAAGCAGGAGTCGGTTAATACGCTGGGAACTATCACGCGTAGACTGCTACTCTCATACATCACAGACAACACGAGCACAACGTAGGACACAGGTGCGACACATACACAAACACAACACCGACACTACGCCCGACACTTCCTACTAACAACGGAATCTCCCCGCGGCGTATATATGCTTGACATGTACGGGTGAGCTCTTTGGTCGCTGATCGTTACCGATTTATAGAAGACACAAAACACGGCACAATGGACAGCCGTATGTAAAAACTGTTTGCATTTAAAAAGTATGGAGGCAAAATCTGTAAAATTAGTCCTTTGCGAAAAACAACGATGCACTAACAATAAATATTAAACCGGCCATGAAAAAGTTCAAATTTTTGTTATTTTCATGCTCGACCAGTGTTATGAGCAGTCCGACTCGCTTGAATCAGATAGAAAAACAAATGATTGGGATTTTATCAGTACGTATTCAATTATCAATGGAAATTATACTTGCGCAAGGCATCTTTTATATATATTATTGTGAAGGACATCCGCCCAACACTTCACTTCCGCTAGTTGTAGTACGCGTACGGGAGCAGACGCCTTCACTTTTGGGGCGTTTTGATGCAGATTGTTGTCGTATGTCGTGTTGGTGTCGAGCGAAGCGGTGAGGCTTGGGAGTTTGTGACCGGTGTTATTCGTGATCATTAATGTAACGCTGATGCGTTTTTTTTTTTTTTTTTTTTTAATATTTTTATATAGCCACATTGAAAATTCACGAGCCCGTGGCACTGCATTATGCTAAAATCGCGAGCTCCTTCTCTGTTGACGTCGTTTTTCTGGTAGCACTCGTGGATACTGCAAGCGTTTAAACAGTGCACAGTCTCGCCTACATCCGCGGTGACGTACTCGACCTGTTGAAACTTATTGCTTGCGTCATTTTGGAGTACGCAAGGCAATTATCTCGCTGCTCTGGTTTCGGTTATAAAAGCAAGGCAAAACGCTCGTAGTTCCCGCCCTCAGTACACGTTGGACATCTTCCACACTTTGACACTGGATAACTGGATGAACGAGGATTTACATTTACTTCAGAGGTCACACTCGCCGCTTCCTCAACGTCGAGCAGCAGGATTAGCTGGCGACAAGCCGCGTATGAAAGGCTCGAGCATCAACAGCCCAAGTGCACTCGGTGCCGATGTGGGCGATGCGGGTTTCTGTCAACCGGGAGGCCAGCACAGACCGTAACCGTTCCAGCTCTTCGTCATGACGCGGTGTTGCAGAAAGCAGCGTATAATACCACTACACGGACCACCGAAGCGAACGCACTGTTATCGTAAATCTTGGCTTGTGATTGCGCCTAAATTTGTAAATAATCTTATTCTTTTTTCTGGAGACGCAAACGAAGGGCATAACAAAATCGTTTGCATATTCCGCATACCTCGCAAAAGCATCAGTCACCTTGCGAGAAGCGCAAAACACGGTGTCCGCACCGTCCTGACTTCCCAGTCTTTTACCTGCTTTAGAGCAGTTTGTACCTGTTAGTACGTATGTCTACTCAAACTGCAACTTGAAACTTGGGGCAGTGCCAGAGGGAAAAGAGACAAATTCGGGCCTCTTCCCAATGTAAAGAAAAACCACTATGTTCTCTACGTAAAAAATTGGTCTCAGTTCATGCATCTGTGGGCAGGTAGAAAATCTTGCCCTAGTTTATTCACACCGCATGATGAGCGCAACAAACTCACACGAGTCACACGAGATTTACAGGAAAACATCGGTGGTGACTTAAGTTTCCCTGAAATTCTGTATAACCGGTCGTTTGCGGGACCGAATCATCTACTCGAGCGGTGTGCGTCGCTGTGCGAACACGTCGCTGTGCAAATGCAGTCTAACGACACGAAGCATAGAAACGGCAGATTTAGGGAAACTATCCGAAGTCCCTTGTTCAATTAAAACGACGTAATTTTGTTGAAAAGGTCCGCAGCATTTTACTCACGGTATGCGTCGGGAATCTTCCACATTTTGAAACGGAACGAAGGAAGATTTACTTTTAAGAACGCTCGCTGCGTCCTCCCCGACCAGCTGGACCGGATGAGCTGACGACGACGGGGCTAAACCCGTCAAACGCAACCCCACAACAACCAATATGAGCTCCGCGTTAGTGCGGGTTTCTACCTACAAGCACCGCACCACACACCACGAACGTTTCGGCCCTTTCTCGCATCGCCGTGTTGCCCCAAACAGAACGAGATCGCCGAAGAACGCAGCGCTGTCGTGAACCTTGGCTTGCGGTTGCGCACTCGTGGACCCTGTGACTCCCCTCGCTTTCAAAGCACACACGACGAATGGTACTTTCCGTCTTCCGGGAACATCACAGGGGCACTTCTCCGGTCACGTCTTCACTATGTGCTCGCAAACTGCGAAGCTCTATGCGAAGCTTCTCGCGTCCCGTCAAACCAAAACAATACCGGCTGCCAGAAATTTCTCCGGTCAAACAAAAAGAACGAAAGCCAACCGGCTCTTGCTTCCACCGTACATCGACGTTGCGCTTGCACCATGGCCAGATCGGCCAGATCGCTTGCAGTTGAAGCAGTTGAAGGTTGAAGCAAAAACGAAACCAATTGCAATGTCACGTGTTCACATCGAAGACACGCTTTTTATATTCATTTTAACTGTTTTGAACGAATAATTGGACCCATGACTTTATTTGTGGTGTGTAAGAAACTATTATCAAGAGCTCTAAACTAAATGCAAACATGGGTGACATGAGGGAAGCCGCATTGCCATCGACCAGAAAATGGCGGCGAGCCACGGGCACGGTAAGCGCGGGTTTCGCCAACGTCCTGCGACATGGCGTAATTGCTTTTGGTGCATATCTGTTTCAGAGACATGTTTCTTTCCGCGGCATTTGTCTCGACGGTCCTTTCTAAGTGTGTCCCCAAGCATTCCGGTGCTTCGATAGCCGGCAATGCCGCGGTCGTCGCCGGAGGCGATGCGTGTTATCGAGGTCGGCTACACGGTTATGCGTGTATGACCGAACCAAAACACGTTTTTTACAACCTCGCATGATATCTGAACGTATTATCCGGTACTCATCGTGTAAATTTATGGTAATTTGTGTAAATAGTGTGTTTTTCACCCCAAATATTCACCAAATACACGGCACTTGCTAACAGTGTGTTGTCGGACTGCTGCTACGAGTTCGAGCAGCCCGGCCACCAACGAAACCAGTGTCCAAGACTTCTGGACACTACAAACAAGAGGTAGCACAAGACGGCGGCAAAGGGCTGGAACCAGAACAACCAGGGAAACTACCACGGCCGCCGATGCTGAAACCAGGCAGCCACTGGCTGAAAGCCGTTACAGTCTCGGAGAGCAGTGAGGCCGCGGCACAGATTCCAACGCAATGTTGGATCCAGCCCGAGCCTATCATCATTGAACCGTGCATGACGATCACTTTGCTCGGTTTTCCTTTTGCCGCAATTTTGGATTCTGGGGCCGCTATCTGAAAGGGGATTTCGGTTTCGTACTCTGCAAAGCAAAAAAGATAGTCTCCGGGAATGCAAAACGCTATTACAGCTGGCTTCTCTGACAACCTTCGAGAGGCCCGAGAAAATCTAGACGTCGCCCGAGTGCAGCAGTCGTAACAGTACAACCAGGGGCAACATGACCTACAGTTCGAGTTGTCGCAGTTTAATTTGGATACAGTTTGAGCCTATCATCATTGAACTGTGCATGGCGATCACTGTGCTCGGTTTTCCTTTTGCCGCATTTTTGGAATTCTGGGGCCGCTATCTCAGAGGGGATTTCATTTTCGAACTCTGCAAAGCAAAAAAGATTAGTCTCCGGCAATGAGAAACACAATTACAGCTAGCTCCTCTGACAACCTTCGAGAGGCCCGAGAAAATCTAGACGTCACCCGAGTGCAGCAGTCGTAACAGTACAACCAGGGGCAACGTGACCTGCAGTTCGAGTTGTCGCAGTTTAATGGGAATACAGCTCCATCTCATGCCGTGCAATTTATAAACATTGTACCTTGTGCTAACGGCTTGTAATCCAGATATGGGTTTACACATCTTGCGACAGGAGATCACTATGAGCCTGGTAGCCCCTCTGTGGACATCGGAGAGCCAGAGGCGAGTACCAGTGCCGCAGCAGCCCCGGATCCCCCCACCGAGCAGGCTGTACCTGCTCCTGCAGCTGCTTCAAGCTGCAGCAGCGACGGGGTGGCGGCTAGTCACGACGAGGCCAGGCCGGCCAGAGGGAGGATGGTGCTGCTGGAGCAGGCTCTCTCAGCAGAGAATGATGTACGTTGTTCTCTGCTGAGGGCAGAGTCTGCCCTCCGTATGAGGCTCCTTGAGGAGGAGCAGCAAATGAAGGTGGTGGAGCACCGCGTGCGGCTCCAGGTGGAGCAGACAAGCTTAAAGATTGCTGAATGGAAGTTGAGGGAGCTTCAACAGGGAGGCGGAAAATAAAGAGCAGTGCCAAAGCCTCGACTTTTGAAGGGATCTAATTTATTTCACAGAAGTTGAAAGCTGGGGCTATATCCAGAAAGGGATAGGGTGCGATTTCAGCTTGTTTCACGTTAGGTATGCTTTGAGAAAATGCACGATTACATAATGGCTCCTGCCTGTCATCTATTATTATCATTTGAACTAGTAAAAAGCCACTGCACAGTCACTACAGCAAGGGTCTGGCAATATTTTCAATTTTTATTGGTGAAGAAACAGGAATAAAGAAAACATTAAAGGCATTTACGAAATACACTAAAAAATACTCATTTACATATAAACATACCTGCAGACGATGCTTTTAGGACAGTTTCATTGGACGCCGTGCTATTTACTCCAGTACAATGAAAAAAAGCCACTTTCACGACAAAAGCTTTAAAGGGGCAATGGAATGATTTTCGTGCTTGATGCAGATACTGGTTAAAACAAATCCCCAAAGTTTATGAGCTATGAAACATGCTTGTGTTTTTAAACCCGTGCAATAAAAAATGCCGAAGACAAAAATGAAATAAATGGCAGCATTTCCCCCTTTAACTTGCAGCCAGAAAAAGTGGCCAAGTGATCTGGAGACGATTATATGCCACCAACGTTCACCATAGCACAGGACACGCGCCGAATTGCTAACATTGTTGGTTTGGCTATTGTCGTCGTTGTAGCACTTGGACACGAGCCACTACCTGAACGATTGTCAACACATGCCCAAATCGAGTGCTCACACAATACTACAGGGTCCAATCTGCGAGCCGCATTCAAATATTGTCACTGGGAGGTGGGACTACACCGACAATGCGACCCCTGAGCTTTTGTGGAGTTTTGTGAAAGAGTGATTGAAAGAAAACGCTTGCCTTTACCTGTGAAATTACACTGCAACGAAAAATGTTTCTCGGTCAGCGGCATTGCATTCAAGTATACTTGGGTTCCTCTAGTGCCAGTAAGCTTGTGTAAAGCGAAAAACATTCTAACTGCATATTGTTCCACCGCCCCTTTAAGGCAAAGCTCGATCAGTCATTGCTGAAGGGAGCTTCTTCGAAAGAAGCTTCTACTTGAAGCTTCGTTCAATTATTCGCTCCCGTGTCTGTATGCCTGTGAGGGAGTCCTCCACGATGTCCACGGGTGGCAGGTGGACTGGCCGCGTGGCCCTCCTCCTGGGTCTGCGTGCCCTAGGCACAACTGGTGGAGCTGGGGGAGGTGGAGGCTGTGGGTCCTTCCTCAGGCAGGCCAGGTTGTGTAGTGCAGCGCCGGCTGTGATGATCTGTACGGCCCGACGTGGCTTGTGTTGCAGCCTCATATCAAGACAGGGGAAGCGCCGCTTCCAGATGCCAAAGGCCCTTTCCACAGAATTCCTCGTCTTGATATGGGCCTTCTGGTACCTGATCGTGTGAGGGAATATCATGATTGGCTAATTAAAATATAATGTTGCCTGTAGATCCCCTTCATATCTTTCTCCCGAATAGCTTGATTTCAAAATGCTTCAGCACTAGCTGCAGACAACGACAAACAGGAGAAGCTTCACTTGTCTCGCCTCTAGCATCAGCATCATACATTCGGTAACACTTTGGCATCTCGCGTACCTCGTGCCTGCATGTGCAGCCAAAGCATGCCAGAAGGTATTGAGCCTGCTCTGGAGGCAGGGCAGAAAGACTTCCTGCAGTTCTCACCGTGTCAGTGACTATAATCTTTAATGAGGGTAGATATTTGCGGGGCTAATGTTGCCACACCCAGTATCTAACTTATTTTGTTCGTACATTATTTAACCATCGCAACTAGCTCACAAGTTCTGTAGTGTTACTACTGTTCCAGATTTGTATATAATGTTTTCCTTGTCTCCACACATAGCCCTACATTTGCTCAGGCACTTGTAGGCTTTACTTGCCTGCCTCGTGGCGTGTTGGCTGGACCGGGATCTGCCAGGGGGGTCATCAGGAAGAAGAAGCAGGCGTAGCCCATGTCCCCAAGCAGCACCCCTGGCACCCGGCGTTCCTCGTACAGCACCCGGGCACGGGAGTTATCGAAAATCCGGCTGTCGTGCACCGACCCAGGCCAGCTCACAACCACGTCATAAAATTGCAGCTGGGGGCCGGTGACAGCCTGCAAGTAGATTGCATTGAAATGAAACATGAAGACATGAATAAGAAAAATTAGTGGCAATGGTCCCATCGAATGAAGCTGTCGTAATACTTGACAAATATTTTCATTACAAAAACTGCTCAGGTGATGTGTTCTGACAATGTCAATATGAACATTGCAAGCTGAATGTAATTTTGAATTGGAGAAGAAACATGGCCAGAGAGAAATTTTTTCTATTAGCAAAGTGAGAGGTACACACTTGTAACAATTTACAGCTGTCACTCCTGTGTCTCAAACTATATACACATAATTAGCACAAATACTGAACACAGGTGTTTAGAAAATTGCTGCCTATAGTCCATTGCCAGACAAAAAGGTAGGACGGGGGTAAGACGGGCCTGGGAGCAGGAAGCAGACGGAACGCTGGAGAAGAGAGGGGGAAACCTCCTCTCTTTAGCCTTCTATCTGCTTCCTCCTCCCCGGCCCGTCTTACCCTCGCCCTACCTTCTTGAGTTGCACCCTATAGCCACAGTTAAATTTTGAAGATTTTACTGCAATGTAATATCAACAATAAAAAACCTTCCTAACTTTTTTCTTTCCTTTTTTAGCACATTAGGCGTGCTCGAGCACTATGCTAGTTTGAAGGTGTGCTTTCTTCTAAGCGCGCGGCTGAGCTGCGGCGAAGCGAGTCACAAGATTGCTGTGTCCGCTCCGCGGTTATTGCTTCTCCGCAGTGCATCCGTGCTTGAGAATCGCACTCAAGGGGGCTAACCCGTTGCAATCAACACTTCGAAAAGTATGAATATGGCAGTTCATTTGGTTGCGAATATCAACGTATTATTGGAAACTACTATTAGAAAAGGATATTCGTGCAGCCCTACTCTTCGCACATAGTGCTTAGGCATCAAGAAAAAAAGAAAACTGTACTTTCTTAATTTTCAGTGGCATCGCCAACCATGCCATGTGCCAGACGCTTTAGAGCAGCATGTAGCGGGTTATTCGTTCTGGCTCAGTTTGGCGCAATGGGCGCAGCAGTTCAACCACTGCATATAGCGAGGCAAAGACGAGAGGGCTTCGACCAAGAAAGTTCCAAGTTATACATGTGTAATGCTTGGGGCAGAGTATCCAAATTTCATGCAGTCGAACATGAGCGCATACTTCAGTGAATGACATCTCGCGATCGCGCAAGCGTTGCTCTAACCTGATGTTAAAAGCTTTTAAACTCAATTCGGTAAACCGCGGAGAACTTTGCACGATCGTTACCTGGACGTTGATGGAGAAAACTCCCTTGCGGTTGCGGAACACCTCCGCGTCGTCGCCGCCGGGGCTCTTGATTCGCACGTGGGTGCAGTCGATGCACCCGGTGACGGCGGGGAATTTCGCAAGTGCGAAGAAATCCAGCATCACCGTGTTGAATTCGGCGGCACTGGGGAAGTGAACGAGGTCCCGGAACAGGTGCCTCGCGATCAGCTGCGTAACTACTCCGACCGCGCGGCACACTGTTGGTTGGGACACGTTCACGAGGTCCCCAGTCACAACCTGGAAGGTCCCGGCACCATAAAACCGCAGCGTGACCAGCAGTTGCAGCATGGGGGTCAGCGGAAGCCCCCTGCAGTCGGTGCTCGTTTGTAGCGGCAGCATCCCGAGCAGCTCTCGCACGGTGCCCTTCGTAAAGCGGTACCGCGCCAGGAACTGCCCGTCGTTGTAGCGCTCCATTGGGTTTTCCCGGTCCCGAATCGATGGTCGCGGGACTCGTGGCAAAGGGAACGCGTCCCCGAAGACGACATCGCACGCGCGAGTTGCGAATTCGAAGGCGGAGATCCGCTCTGCGGCGTCACTTCGCCAAGCCGCCAGGTTGGAACGACTACGAAGTCGCGTTCAAGATAGGTCCAACCCAGTCTTGAAATTTGGGCACTTCAAGTTCGCTTCAAGTTCGGTTCAAGATCGGTTCAAGTTAAGGTGCATTTATGAAGCGCGCTTGCTCGTTCGGAAGACTAACTTGAACAAGTTGAAGCTCGACTTCAGAGCAAGTCACATCTATGAATTCGGGGGTAAGTCTGTTTCGCTTTGTTTATTTCTGTGAATATATGTATATACGTTTGCATTTCCTACCCTGTTCGTCCTAGCTGTTTCATTTATATCGGGGTCGGTCACGGTCAAAAGCGTGACACACTAAAGCGCACCTAAGCTTTGGTAAAACAAAAACAAATAAATGCTTCAGAATTTCAGAAAATAATATCCAAAAAGAGGGAAGGCAATTGCAAAAGTGTGAAACGTTTTCGAGGCTTAGAAATTCTGCATTACGCCACTTCAGAAAAAAACGTGCTCTGCCAAAACCGGTGGCTTGCGTGTTTAACAAATCCTTTCAGATCCTCGTGATATAGTTTCCATGAGCAGAAAAGTAAGTGGAAAGCTGTATTCAATAAGGCATGTGTGTGTTTTTTAATCAGCGTGGGCGGTTAAATAACTAAGAGGTTTAAACTGTACGTCTCTCCCAAGTACGGGAATAATGTTCCACCTGACCGGCTTTTATAAAGACCTGCATTTAGCTCAATTATTAAAATACCAAACATAAATTATAAGCATAAAAACAATACAAACGCAACAACTTATTTATTCGAGACAACAAAAACAAACAGAAGAAACCTTGGAATCAAAAACTCTTCGGGTTCGCGGGTTTCCTGTTCCCAACTCTTTGGGAAAGAGCTCGTTAGGGACCGACAATGTCGGCGATTAATCATATGCAGATTACGCCCGAATTAACCGACCCCCCTAATGGCGCTTCACCTAATCCTTCTCAAATCCTAGGCTTCCGGTAGTAAACTTCCAGCAAGAGAGCTCTCGCGAGCTAGTTTACCGCCGAACCAGAAATTCTCGGAGAATTATTTCTGCATCATCTTTCACTTTTCTCTATCTCTCTTTCCCTCTCTTTTTATTCCTCTTTTTCTACCGTCGTTATCTGCTTCACTTTAGCTTCGCGACGGTTGATGGCACAAGTGCGAGACATGATAAACACGAGAGTGTCGAACCGGAAGCGAACCGACACAAAAACCGAACCCGAAACGTTATTTTTAGGCGTATAGGAACCGAACCAAACCGAAATCTTCGCGGCCATCTTGTAACTAAGACGGAACTTACTAAACCGTGAAGAAAAAAACTTTTAACGGTAGCTGGTTCAGACGCTTTACCCCAATATTTTTATTTTTATTGTGATAACACGTACAACAAAATAAAAATCTGAGAATAAAAAAATAATACTTCACAAAGACGGCAAGACAGGTAGTGCCTGTCCTGTCATCTTTGTGTGTTCATTGTCTTTTTTTTTTCACGATTCTTAACCTTCTAAGCCAGGGGTGCACAACACACGCCCCGCGAGCACTTTCTGTGTGGCCCGCGGCCCGCGGCCCAGCTGAGCGCAGAAACCGCTCACAGTGTCATTCAATGCGCTGCGGCCGTTGACTTGGCAGAAAGCATTCGAACCCGTTGACCTACTTTTCTCAGAGTTCTCTTCTCCGGGGGAAACTCCGCGTCCTCAGTTCAAATATTCCCTCTCCACTAGGCCCACAAAAAACAACAATACAAGAGCCCCTACAGCCATCCAGTGCGTTGTTATGACCCGACCCCGCGTCCCTGTGTTTGTGAGTGTTCCAGTTCTTCTTCATCCCGTTTCCTCATCCCTCTCTGCACGGAGGCTACAGCCCTCTCCCCCCCTGTTGGGACATGATCAGTGACAGCTTGTTGCAGATTGAGAAAAGCTAGTCGTGTCGCGCTTGGAATATGAGTGCACTTCCAAAGAAGAGAAAAATCGACAAGGAGGGCTGAAAATTCAACCAGGAGTGGACATGGAGGTACTTTTTTCATTGAGAACGCATCGAAGTGCTTATGTCTTGTGTGTCGAGAATCTCTCGCGGCTCCTAAAGAATACAACGTTCGACGCCACTACGAGACCAAGCATGCCCGCGACTTCAGCGCTCTTTCGGATTCGGAGAGACAAACAAACTCCGAGGACTTAAAACGAAATTTGCTTGCTGAGCAGAGTACTTTTACAAAAGCAAAGAACACATCTGAAGAAGCCACCCGGGCGTCTTTTCAGATATCTCAAAAGATCGCTCGTTCAGGTCGCCCGTTTACCGATGTCGACTTCATCAAGGAATGTCTTATGATTGCTTCTGAGGAGATGTGCCCGGACAAGAAGTTGGTTTTCCAAAACCTGAGCCTATTAAGAATGACAGTACAACGACGTTTGCATGACATTGCCGTCGACCTATTAAAACAGCTGGGGAGGAGCTGCAGTCATTTTGTCTACTACCCTCTTGCTTTGGATGAGAGCACAGACATCAAAGACACAGCACAGCTGCTTGTTTTCATCCGTGGTGTGAACGAAAACTTCGAAGTGACTCAGGAGCTGGCAGAGCTTTGCTCAATGCACGGACGGACTACGGGAGAAGAGATCAGCAAGGAGGTCAAAGACGTCATCGAGAAGCTCAAGCTATCATGGGAAAAACTCGCAGGTGCCTGCACCGATGGGGCCCCAGCCATGATGGGAAGGAGAAACGGAGCCGTTGCCTTACTTCAAGCGTTCAGTGGTGTAGAACTGATGCAATATCACTGTGTGCTTCACCAGGAAGCACTCTGTGCCAAAGTGATGAAGTTTGACCATGTGATCAAGGTCGTGATTTCGGTTGTCAAATTTATACGTGCTCGGGGATTGAAGCACAGGAAATTTCAAGAGTACCTGAAAGAAATGGAGAGTGAGCACATGGACATCCCGGATCACACTGAAGTTCGCTGGCTAAGCCGTGGGAATGTTCTGAGTCGCTTCATCGCGCTGAAGGCCGACATCATCGCTTTCTTGCAAGAGGAAGGGAAACAGATACCAGAGCTGGAGGAAGAACAATGGTCGTGGGATCTGGCATTCCTCACCGATATCTCAAGCCACCGGAACACGCTGAACATAGCTCTCCAGGGAAAAGACCATCTCATTTCGGACATGGTGAGCGCGATCTTCGCGTTCCAAAGAAAGCTGCGCCTCTTCAAATTGCAGCTTGGGGGTGGAAGCATAGTTCACTTTCCAACCTGCCAGAAGCTCTTTCCCACCGGCGAAAATCTGAAGACGGTAGCTGCAACGTGCGCTCCACAGGTTGAGTACCTGCTCTCCGAGTTCCAGCAAAGATTCAAGGCATTCGAAAGTGAGAAGAGTAACTACGATTTGTTCCGCGATCCGTTTTCTATCGCACCGGAAGACACAGGTCCGACGCTGGGGCTAGAACTCATCGACCTCCAGTGCTCGCCAGAACTGAAGAGTATGCATCGTGAGTCTCAGCTGCTTGACTTCTACAGAAGCCTTGACAGGAGCAAGTACGGAAACCTTGTGGACCAGGCATTGAAGCTTGCATCACTTTTTGGGAGCACGTATGTCTGTGAGCAGACGTTCTCGCTGATAACCCTCAACAAGAATTGTCTTCGATCTTCTATGACGGACATGACACTGCGAGATGTGCTGAAGACGGCAACCAGTGCGATGACGCCGGACATTGAAAACCTGTCTGCAGCAAAAAGGTGTAACGTTTCACACTAGGTGCGGCCCGCGCAGTTTCCAATAAACAATTTTTGGCCCGCGTCATTTTTGAGTTGTGCACCCCTGTTCTAAGCAAAAATATTTAGAGGTATAGTTCTATTTATTGGTCAAATCGTTATTTACACAATTGCCCCCCCCCCCCCCCCCCCCCCAATGTACGAAATAAAATATCTTTGTAGCCTCAGATGGGCATGGCAAACTTTCTGGGACATTCCGTAGAGCAAGAAGTTTCCTATGAAATATAAAAATTATAATTTATTTGCGTTCTGTGATTCTGGGACAATTATCGTCCTTGCCGAAATTCTGATCTGTGGTCAAGAAAAGCATAAATTTTGTGAACGTGGCAGATATCACTCAGTGCAAAAATTTTTTAGAGCGATGACATAAAAACTATACGTGTCAAAAAAGTGTAATAAGTGCTTATTGGTATCTTTTGACTGCCATCTCAAAGATTCCCGGGGGAAATTGCGATGCTTGCAGTTGTTCAGTTGAAATTCTCATTTTAGTGCATTTTACTGATTAATATGCAAAAGAAGTTGGGGATGCAGACGAAGTTTCGCTTAGGGGCTTTTGGGGGTCTGGGAAGTTTAGCCCATCAGCGAGACGTTCGTACTCGCTCTGGGTCTCGCAGGAGGTTCATTGTTCGTACCAGCTTTCACCAGTTCTGTGTTTTGTTTAACCTTCCAGTCTTTGGGTGCAAAATGAAAGTGAAAAAATGAATGCTCAATAAACAAAAGAGGATCAGAAAAAAAAAAAGAGCGTAGTTAAAAAAAAAACAAAAAACATAGTGTGTTGTAGATGCTTTTCGGCGCTGTACCTACAACAGAGGCCAGAAAAAGTGGTCCCGGAAACTCTTGGTTCGCATAAACACTCGTGTCGGAAAGCGCATTTTTGTGGTGCCACATGCTGGTTTTGTTGCTCAGGACGCCGCAGCAAGAATCGTTTGTTTCTATCAAATATATGGCTTGCACTGACGTCAACTCAGCCGTTGAGTGCGTACCATTGCCATTTTTGTTTTCAGAGAAAAGAAGCGGCATTGGCAAACACAATGATGCGATGGTGTCACTTAAAAGCCATTTATAGAAACAGTTCAGTTTCCTAGTAAAATACAGTATTCGCAAAAGCAGCCAGACATAAGCTGATAAGACTGGGCGAGTTGGTACGTTATTCGGCAGCCAAACAGACGTCATTAATCGTCCAAATTGCGAAGTTGTTTTGTATTGCCAGTCTGGCGATGGTACGGTAGACTAATATAATGCTATGGGTATGACTGGTGACGCAAAGAGATTAAAGTGAGGGCTTAGACACACGTGCATGTAAATCGAAATGTTTTTCTTAGAGCGATATATTTATAGTTTACGCCTCCAAATCTATGACGCGAGCATGATATTTGTTTTTACGAACCCTGTGACCCGGCATTTTTCAGTGCGAATGAATCAACAAAAAAGCATGTTTCAGCAAGCCGGCTCGACCGCTGGCATATTAATGCGAAAGCATTAACTATCCATGGAGGGGAGCTGGGGGCGTCCCAAGCAGCACATAAACGTGAAGAAAACGTCGAAAGAACGTCGAAGACGCCTGTAACGTGACGTCGTAAAACGTCGAAGGTCCGGACGTTACCTTCCTTCGACGTCGATGAAACCTTTAAATGTCGGCGAGAAAAGGTGCACAGAAGGTCGAGGGGACGTTCCAAATGACGTTTCCTGCACGTCACATGCACGTCTCAGTGGGCCGTTGCGTCCTCCCTCGACGTTTATGACACGTGTGTTTACGACATCCGGACTGCCAACGACGTTCACAGAACGTCGAGAAACCTTTCCAAATTACGTTCCCTAGCCGTCGTGGGAAAACGTTGTGTCCCCCCCCCCCCCCCCTTTTCCATAAAAAAAGTAATTTTTTAGTATTATTGCGAAGGCAACTTGCTATCATGCAAGTACGAAGGAAGTAACTAAAACACAGGTTTGGTACGAACTGTTTATTTGAGCATTTTCAGACACGATCGAAAAGACGTCCCTGGATGTGCCAGCCTCAAAAATATAAAAGAACAAACAAATTCATGTAAATAAATAAACAAGAGACGATGCCACGCAGCACGGAGTCTTCCACCGCTTACCTCGTTCTGCTTCTGATTAATGTGCCGACGCGCGTGCTTTAGCCGCCCCATCGCACATAGCTGGTACTCTCGCTGCGTCTACGGGAATGGTTTCAGAAGGAGGATCCCGTCCGCTGGGCGTTCTTGATTGGGATCGTCGCATGCCTCTGAAGGGTCTTGATCGGAGACTGGACTTGACGCGCCGTTATGTGCACTGCCACTTGTTTTCTGGGGGGCGTCATTCATATCCTCACAGGCACCTTGATCCGAGCAGTAGTACGATTCAACGTGTGAAGCGTTATGGCCTTGAAAAAGGTCCTCGAGTCGTGACTGAATACGAAGGCGTTCTTGGCGATCAGCGACTTCTTCATAGGGGCGACTTGAACGACTCATCTAACCGCAGCATTTACAGTGTATGCAGACTCGAAAAAAAATCACGCCGACACGGCAGCCTGCCTCCTAGACCCGTAGACGTGACGGCCGGTGCTAGTGATTGGCTTTCGGAAAAAGCTGGACCGGGTCCCAGAGCTGTTCTCTCTGGGCGAATTCGAAGAACAGAACATTCAGTGAAATATTTTGGGAACGACTGAGAAAATACGTGCACCCGGAACTTACGCTTGTGAATTGTTCGTCGTCGCTATCTTCCCGCACTTTTCTCTCGCCCTCTTCTTGCCGAGTTTCCCGACGCATCGTATGGGGCTCTATGGAGCTGCCACTGGCATCTCCTCTGCCTACCTTCACCCTCTCTCTCGCGCCCGTGCCGGCTGTACTTTTTTTTTTCTTTTTCTCTTCCTTTTTTTTTTTTTTTTCCGGCACGTAGGTGCGGACTGGACTTGAACGCTTTTTGGACCGTCATCTGGGCCATTCAGGTTTCCACAAACCGTTGACGGTATCCACAGGATTTCGTCATTGCCGGGCTTTTTTTTTTTTTTTTTTGTCAACTCCGAAAATGCGCAACTGTGCGGTGAAGTGCTCTGATATAGTGTGTGCTGGCATGTGATTTTCGTTTCGGTACGTCACCAGTGGCCACGAAAGCCAGATCTGTACTGACAGTCACGTGACAAGACTCTGCGCCCCGACCTACCGAAAACGCTAAGGCGCTGGAAGTTGGTGTTGTGGATGAACTGTGATGTTGATGCGAATTTTTTGGTTGTGCGCAGGTGAGCATGGGTTAGAGAATACGAAGAGAAATTGACGAACCTTAAAACAACCTCGGGTGGTCGCGGAGCAGTATGGATGCTCCTAGGAAAGGATGCAGGATCAATAGCATTTTGAAATACGCAAATTAATGTATAAATATTTAAATTCCTCAACTTCTCAAAAATCAAGATTTGTTTGCGGCTCTTAAGCACTGACACCTTGACCACAGTGATTCTGCGGCTAGAGATGGAGCTGCAAAATCTAAAAACGTCGAACAAATTGTGAGTGGTCGACGTTGCCAGCACGTCTTGTATGACGTTTACGACATTTAGGTGTGAACGCGACGTCGCTGAAACGTCATTGACGGGGTAATAATGTAATGTCATCCTGGACCTTATTTTAACTTCGAAGAAACGTGAGTGTTCGACGTTGCTAAAACGTCTTGTCTTGACGCCGTGGCGACGATGACGACGTTAAAGTTGAAACGTGACGTCGCCAGCACGTCACGGACAGGACGACAAAGGAACGTCATTTATGAACTTCAGTTCAACGTCAAAGAAACGTGAGCGTTGGACGTTCTGAGAACGTCGTGCATCGACGTCGTGGGAACGTTGACGACGTTTGAGTTGAAATACAACGTCGTCACAACGTCACTGATTGGACTCTAATGGAACGTTATATAAGGACGTCACCTCGACATCGAAAAAACGTAATCGAAGTCATGCGGGACGTCACGGACGTCCGGGACCTTTTCTCGACGTCGACGTAACCGCAAAAAAAGAAACGCGAAAGAAATGCCCATCCTCCCAATGGCTGAGCAAAACGGCTCCTAAACAGCCATTGGCGGCCGCTTCACGACAGCACGCGCTCGGCCGCGGCACTTGTGGCAGGTGTTGCCGGAGGGGGGGAGGGGGGCGGGGGCGGTGCCACCGCTGCTTTATAATGGTACGTTTACATCTGAGAAGAAATCCGCTGCCGCGGGAGCGGATCCGCTCCCGGCGGCGGCGGTGGCGAGCTGGTTGTGTTTACATCTATTTCCTTCGAGCAGTGGCGGCAGCGCCGGCTGCGGCAGCTGTTCCCGTAACTTCTCGTCAAATATGACGAGAAGGCGCGAGAGTTCCCGCCTCGGCTCTCTCTCTCCGGGGCGTTGCTGCTCCCGGAAGAACGCGTACTCGTGACGTAGGCAGCGTCGCGCCGCGCAAGAATGTCACATCCGGTCAGCGAAACGCCTCGTTCGGCGGCAGAAGTAGATCCCGGACCTATACACTTTTGCAAAAAGTGCTCCTCGGCCGCCGCCATGTTGCTGATGATCATGCCGCTGGCGCGATTCTCGCGACCTCTAGTAGCTAGATTTTTTGCTACCATCTTGGACTGTTAGAACCAGCGCCTCTGTTCGTCATTGCCTAGGTTCTTCTGCTCTCCGAGCACTTCCCTCCCTTTCTTAGCCGCTTTTCGCTGTATTTAGACGTTTTGTTTGTTCAAGTTGGTTCATTTATAGTGTTTTTCTCGTGCTGTATGTATTTCGATTTACTTTTTACCCTTTTGGCGTACGTTTTGTCCTAATTTCGTGTGATGGAGCCGGCCAGGCCGGGCACCTCGAGGGGATCGGCGTCTGCGTCGTCGAAACCACCTGTTACCATTGCTGGTGAGTAATGATTCTAAATTATTGGTACATCGCCCGTTCCGTCGCGATGAGCGAAGTTTTCTGAACCGAGCGACGCGAGAAGCTACAGCGAGCCAGCTGATCGTCGCCATCGCTCGACCAGTCATACGGTTATGGATTTATCGGCGACCGCGGAGAGGCTTCTCGTAGCGCTTCGAAGGCGGTGTCAATCAGTTCACCAAACGGCGTTTTATCGACAGACCACCTGGTCGACACGAGCCCGAGTTCTTTCATCGATACAACGGAGCAGCGGGCGGCAACCGAGGGCGGTTGGCCGGCCGCTGGCGGCCGGCCAACGCCTTTTCTCGATTGTAGCCTAGAATTGCCCTTGGCGGTTTTTAAAACGTCTGCAAAAAGCTTGAGCCCGAGATTTCTCGGGCTCGAGCTTCCGCCTTGAGCGCGAGCATCCAAACAAACAGCGCGGTTTGTTTGTAAGCCTAGTGCAGCTGGCGAACGTCGATGTGACGTCCGCGACGGCGAGACGACGGGCTCGCAATTGGAATCCGGTAGAAACATAGAACTGCTTGTACCAGGCTGTTCGGCAACTGGTGTGAAGGCTGTTGCCGACCATTGTTCTTTCAACCATAATCCCTTAACTTGGCGGACACATTTGAGGCTGAAAGTCAGATGCCAGAATTGGGCGGGGTCGGACCCGTGCAAGCTTTAAACCGATTGTCAGCGGTCACCCTCCCCTTTGGAAAGCACTCACAAAAATGGGCGTTTGGGGCGATTAGGAGATGGTTACTTGTTACTAGGTCTACGGAACCAAATACAAATCAGTTCATTATTGCCATTTATTTTGCGACCGCCACTTTTTAAGTATGCATCTTGTCCAGTGACTTGCTGTTGTAGTGATGACATTAAGAATTAAAAGGACAATACCACGATTTCTCTATTTATGATTTGCGATTAAGCAGATTGGGCAGGAAAACCTTTATGCGACAATACATTTTCTCATTTCAGATATGTTTTACGTGTATTAGATGCAAACAATGCACCTGTTGGAAAAGTAATTAAAGCAATTATTGATCATTCTAACACCACTAGTTCTGCTAAATGCATGAAAACGGTACCCTCATGCATCGTTTGTTACCTTCCATTTCAGAAGGCCGCGTGTACCCCCACCCATACGACGTTACCAGCTGGTCCGAGGACATACGTCTTTGGCCTTCTATCAGGATCCCAGATATTTTTTACTACCTGGTACACACAAAAGCCTGCGACCTGCAAGATGTGAAAGCCTACCGGAGTCTGGAGTCTTTCAACTACTTGCAAAGTGGCTGGGTTGGAAACCTCTCTGTCCACCAGATTGACGAAGAATTCTCCTTCGTGAGAGGACAGATCACGCCTTCGCAGAGCGTGAACCAGGCCTTCCACACTGCTTGGGTCTGTGCCAAAGACTGTGGAGAGATTGTGACAGGTGGCTGTACCTGCATGGCAGGCCAAGCGAGAGTATGTGGCCATGTTGGAGCAATTCTATGGAAAGTGGACTTCGCTGTGACAAAGGGACTGACAGGCTTGGCTTGCACAGATGTTGCAGCGAAATGGAATCGGGGGACAAAGCACAACGTGGAGCCAGCTAGGCTCGCAGACATCACATTCCATCTGCAGAAGAGGACTGTGGACCCAGCACCAAACAAGTTGCGGCTTCAACCACTTCTGATGGCCATGGATGAAGCACAGATAAGAGACCTCCACAGGAACTCGTCATTCAAAGACCTCTTCAACATACCAGGTGAACCTGGTTGTTTTAATGATTAGTTATAATTATGCTTACGAATTAAAACCTAGGGTCATGAAAACCACAGGGAAGGACTACACTGGTAAACAGTTTACAACGACCAACTGGAATATTCAGTAAACGAAACAAATTAGGGGTTGCATGCCATCAGTAACCGATTTCTTAGGAAGAGATTAGTAAACAACGTCCATCTTGGTAAAATTAGAGCAAAGGCAAGGGAGGAAGAACGTAGAGACCTTTGGAATTGTTTATTTATGCGTTATGATTCCATTATGTTTCTATACTTTGTTGGACATAAAAAAATACACAGTAAAGGTGTCCCTGCTGTACTAGAGGAGCTTGTACAAAAAAAGAAAGTGACATTCAATGTTGTGAGAACGTGCTCATACCCTTTGCCATGTACCTTTCTCGAGGGAAAAAAAAAAGGAAACTCAAAAGTTATACAATATGTAGCACCGAAACACAAAAAGCAGAAAATCCACCAGGATTATTTAAAAAAAAAAAAAAAAGGATTGGGCAAATATAAAAAATACAAAGGAGGTGATGATGGTGCATCAATAGCTCGTTCAGTTTTAAATTTAAGTCTCTGCACACAAACTTGACTTTATGCTTGACACTCAGTTAATGACATACATATCTAGCACTGTTCTTTAAAATATCCTGTGAAAACAGTTTCGCAAATTGAAATGGCATTTCATCTAGCGAGCGACAGCTTGTTTCGTAACCCTTTTGAACCACAGGTACAGAGGCTGCTCTATTTCATGCAGGAACGCTGCTGCACAAGACATTCAACGCTCCGCGACGCGAAGAAGCTCCAGTTGCAGCTGGTGATGCTGCTGTGCCCTGCCATGGTAGCCACCTTGCCACGGACGACCTGCCTGTAACCTGTACACCTTGCAGAGAGTTCTACTCAAACTATGTTGCCATCAGTCCAGCAGCTGCGGCAGCCCTGGAAGAATCCACAAGGAGCCAGCAGACACCGATGTGGTTCTTGGCACGGCGGCTGCGATTAACCGCATCAAACGCAAACAAAGTTCCCAAAACAGAAAAAACTTCCTGCGAGAATGCAGTGAAAACTATGCTGTGCCCAACATTCACAGGGAACGCTGCAACCAGGCATGGACAAATACATGAGCCAGTGGCACGGGCCCAGTTTACTCGGTATCATGGAGCGAATGTATCGCAGTGCGGCATGTTTGTGTGCAAGGAGCTGCCATGGCTCTCGGCAACACCGGACGGTGTGATTGGAGAGGCCCTGTTGGAAATCAAGTGTCCAAATACAGATAACTGTAAGGAGATGATGAAGAGTGCGAAGAGCAAGTACGATGTACGAGAGAGATCACAGAAGCCCTCCCAGACCTCGCTTGACGACGACGAGTACTTCTTTGCCAACAACCAGTACTTCAAGACGGACAACAAGAAGTACTACCTCGCAGAGAAGGGGCCCAAAGGCTACTATTGTCAAGTGCAATTTCAAATGTTTTGCACCGGTCAGCGACTTTGTTTTTTTTATTTGTGGACCCTTCACGCCCAGATTCTTTTGGGGATAGCATTCAATGAGGAGTGTGTCTACAAAATGATGCTAAGGCTTAGGAACTTTTACTTTCGTGAGCTCCTGCCAAGGATTGAGGAACTCCACCGCCGGGAAGAGCTGGAAATTTCCGACGTATACAAGGAGCTATGTGGTCGTTAGTCATTGAGTACGACTGGAACCCCGCTGCACGGGACAAATCCCAAGAATAAACGACGAGACTTCTATCACTCTCTAATCCAGTTGTCTACCGATGAATGGGGAATGTAAGCTAAGAGATAACTGTGGGATGAGACACTGTCCACATTGTGGACACGACATGAGCAATCAAAACCAATGTAGAGAATTTCACAGCCCCAACAGGTTTATGTAAAAGCTTGGCAGCAGCATGTAACTCAAACAGAACAAAGCAGAGGAAAGACACCAGGTTGAATAAGGACCTTAAACATTGAACGGAGACAAGATTCAAGCATAAAGTAAAAAAACATGTTAACTAACTACACACATCCCAAGACAACAGGTGTGCTTAAATTCCATTCACAGTTTCCCTCACTGTTCTGTCGCAATGCATGCAAAATTGAGCTCCGAGGCAAGGTGCTGCAGTTCTGCCTCGGACCCTTCAATGCCGGGCGAGGTATCCGCAGACCAATACGGACAATACAGCGTGTAACCAATATTTTGATTGTGTGCGAGGGTACCCCTAGCTGGTTTAAATTAATCCATAATCCTTTGCTGAGGCTTGCTCGATGCCATTCATTGGTTTTGTATGTAAACCCTCAAATTAACACTGACAGGTTCAATTACACTGATTCAACTATATTTAAGCATCACCTGAATGCAATATTATTTAAGAGAATATCCGCTTCGAGTTGGGTTGTATAAAAACATCGGAAGCAGTCACAACGTAAACTTTAAAGAAGCTTCCAAATATCTCTTCTATTAGCAAAGACAATAGACCCTATTAGCAAAGACAATAGACCGATCTCACCAAGTGTTCGACGCATGTGTCACGCTGCCATAACTTTAGTTCACAGGAGGCAAACGGAATTGCACGAAAGGGCTTGTGCCGTCTCGTGCTTAACACGCGCAGAGCTCCAACAAGGTTGTTGCACATGCAGAAATACTAAAGTTCCCTCGATGCATTGTGGCAGTGGTGGCGTAGTCAAACTGGCTGGTGGGATCGGTCTATTGCAATAAGAAAAAAAAGCTCATTCTCAGTCTTCTGGTGTACTGCAGTGCATCACGGCAGTACATCAGAGTCGTTTGTCTCATTGTCCCTAATCAGAGGCGGCTTCAAGTTGCACAGTCCTGCAATCACAAAGATCATGAGACTGATTGTCTTCTTAGATCTGATAGGCAAAGACTGTTTAAAAATTCTATAAGTCTTCATCCTGTTGATGGCCCGCTCCACATGGATCCGGACAGCTGCGATCCGTCTTGTCATTGTTACATCCCGCTCACTGAGTTGTGCTTTACCTGGAAAAAAAATAAAAACCTGAGTAAGACGCGAGACATGTCGATATCGAACCCAGTACCTTTTGTGAAAGCAGGCACGTTGAGCTTTATGCCCTGGACCTCCAGCTCGGGCTCCAGCGTAAAGCCACGGTCAGCCATGACCTCGTCGCCCCGAACAAGGTAGTCATTGATGCCGCATTCGCGCATGATGAGTTTATCAGAGGCACGCCTCCGTAAGCATCGGAGACGTGCATGATGTACCCATTCGGAGCAATGGCCACAAGAAACTTCACAGTATTGTGTGCCTTGTAGCTGCTGTAGGTCTGCGCCCGAGGCATGAGCTTCCTGGGCCGCTGCAAAATGCACCTCAGTACAATCAATGATGCAGGTAGTTCTGCCATGGCTGTTTTCGATGAATGACTGTGGCATGCTGCTACGGATAGTACTCCTTGGCAGCCAAAGTACAATCGACTCCATGACTGTCTTCAGTCGTCCCAGCATCGCCTTTACGACGTTGCCGAAACTTGACACAGAAATAAGAAAGATCCTTGAAAGGTGGCCGTACAAAAGTCCGAGGCGAAGCCTCATAAGGCAAAGCAGCAGCTGACCTTTTATCGAAAGCTGGCCAACTTTCGCACCCAAAGCAGTGACGGCACCTACCAAGCTCTCAAAAACTGCTCCTGACACGCCGGTGTAGAAAATGATGTCACTTTCGGAAAGTCCATTTGTCATGGAGTGCCGAGGGAAGCCGGCTGGAGGTACTGGTCGACTGTACGAATGTTCCTCCTGGAAGCGCTCCCACTGAGTGCCTTGATCTTTTCGTGTGATCTAAAGTGTGACCAAAAGTACCAGAAGACATTATCAGTAGGCTTTTTAAGTCTAATCAGTCAAACCGCATTAAAACAATACTGAACCCTTTAATGCCGAAATTAATTTTCAGTCGGGTTAATTATCTTTTCCAGGAAACATGCTTAAGGTACCCCCCCCCCCCCCCCCTCCAAGTATACTAGATGCATCAAAGATTGTGACAGGGTCTCTTTTGTAAAAACAAAATGGTATGTCACGAATTCGCAATACTAACAGAACTCGACTGGTAGAATGATGTCTAAGGGTTAACTGAAAAGACTGATAAAGCTTCACTGCTAAAAGAAAATGCACAAGCTGGACTATTATGTTCAACATGCTCTAGTCGGGATTAAGAGGAATTGCTTTTGGCTGACAGCTTACTGCATCAGATGACCCAGTATGAATAGATTTAAAACTAAGCACACAAAGTTTCCTCACCTGCATTGCAGAGGGTCTGTAAGGTTGGTCGCAGCCACTGGTCGATGAATCAGCCAGCTGTAAAACACGAGTTGTGCATCCTTGTCTGCTCCCATCTCGACTGTATGCAATGATCAATAGTCGTACAAGCAAACACGAAATCTTTCTTTACCTGTGTCGCACCTGACAAGGCAGCTTGGTCGCACGTCGAAGTGTCATTCCACTAAAAGATACACATAATCATTAACACGATACCTCTTGCCAACGCTGCGCATGGCTGGCAGCCTCAAAATTAGCTTACCACATCTGTGGCCAGGGCAGGGAGGCTGCCAGTCTCTGTCGCACCTGAGGGCTGCAGAAAAACATGTTGTGGCATCTTCTGCTACGCTTTCGACTGCATGCAGTGATCAATAGTCATGAAAGTAAACACTAAATCTTCCTTTACCTGTGTCGCGCCTGCTGTGGCAGCGTGGCTGCACGTTGAAGTGTCCCCAGACTAAAAATGCACATCGTAATCATAAACACGACACCTCTTGCCATTGCTGCGCATGGCTGGCAACCTCAAAATGAGCTTACCACATCTGTGGCCAGGGCAGGGAGACTGCCAGTCTCTGTCAGACCTGGGGGCTGGAGAAAAACAGGTCGTGGCATTTTCTGCCACGCTCTCGACTGCATGCAGCGATCAATAGTCTTGAAAGTAAACACGAAATCTTTCTTCACCTGTGTCGCGCCTGCCGTGGCAGCTTGGCCGCACGTCGAAGTGTCCTCAGACTAAAAACAATACACATTGTAATCATTAACAAGGTACCTCTTGCCATTGCTGCACATGGCTGGCAATCTCAAAATGAGCTTACGAGATCTGTGGCCAGGGCAGGGAGGCTGCAAGTCTCTGTCAGATCCGGGGGCTGGAGAAAAACAGGTTATGGCATTTTCTGCTACGCTCTCGACTGCATGCAGTTATAAATACAGTAAAACCTCGTTAATTCAACCCCCACAAATTTGGAAATTCGGTTAATTTGAACTGCCAATCCGGTCCCGTCAAACGTATGTACAGTAAAACCTCGTTAATTCGAATCTCATGGGACCGGCAAAAATGTCCGAATTATCCGAAAGTTGAAATGTCGAAAGAACAAAGAAAACAGCGCGAAAATGTTTCCCTGTGACATACCTTTATTTTGAGAAGAAATCTGTTATTACCGCCTGCTTTCTGGACGATACTTGGGCGGAGACGGCAACTTTCCTTAGCGCGCTCGAGTGCTCCACCCCACTTGCACTGTCGGAGCTATGCATCCCGTGCGCGGACAATATAGCACAGCAAGGCCTCTTCTAGTTTCGGGTGCACCACCTTCCAAGGCCGCGTTCTTTTCGCGTTGAACTTCTTGCTCTCGATATTGGCCTCAATTTTCACAAATGTGGCCAAACTGCTTCTCTTGACGTCGTAACTTTCCATCACTTGTTGTCGAGAGACGCTGTCCCTTAAGGCCCTCAGTGTTTCCACTTTCGTCGCTAAATTCTTAGCCTAGTACAGCGGCAACGGAAAACGAGTAGCACAACTGACCGATGATCGGAGCGGCTAAATCGCGACACCCAGCGCTATTTTTCCCGTCGCGCCGATAGCGAGAGTGCCACTCACGTGGCATATTTCAACGCAGGGGTGGCCGGCGAAAAATTGAGGGATAAGATAGCTGTTAAAATGGCAGGCTTTAGGACCCCCGCGTTGAGGCATAAAACGTGACTGTCACTCTCGCTATCGGCACGCTCGGGAACAATAGCCCCGCGTGTCGGGATTTTGCCATTCCGGTCGTCGGTCACTTGTGCTACCGTTTTTTCGTTGCAGCTATGCTTCTGCCGCTTCCATGCCAGGACAGTAACGCGCTGAAGCACGGCAATACAGAGCAAAACTGGTGCGAAACACAAGAGAACCGGAAGAGCGAAGAGCCATGGGAAAACCGGAAAAACCACGTGTGCACCCCGGATGGATAGCGGTCATACCCTTTGGAACGGACGGTAGCTAGCGCCACCTGCCAAATTTGTCCGAATTAACCGTACTGCGCCCCGTTTTTTCCGAATTAATGTGCGTTTGCTGCTAGTATTTAGGAGATCGAGATTCTAGTTACCGCGGTGGGTTATAGCAGCGCGGTGGTGCGGTGGCGCGGTCGTTTCGTCGAATCTGTCAACATGGATGGCAATGCCGCTCTCGCGAGCGAGTTTGAGCTTCCGTTCAGTAACCCAACACAAACGGAACGGGAGTATGTGTGTGGCCGCCTCCGCCGTCACCCGAGGGAGACCGCCCAGCCGGTCACGAGCGGCCCGCATGCCGAAGTGCCCATAGTTGCTCGTTGGCCGTTTCGCGTCCAGCGTAGCAAAGAAAAAAAAAAACATTTATGCTGCTTTATTTACGGTTTAGTAATCCTTTCCGGTCCGTTTTATGCTTTTCATGGTTA